CCGTGCGCAGTAGTTGTATATATGACAGTCAGTAGCAGTTAGTTTGTAATATATCTCACCAGTCAGTAGCAGTAGTTGTATTTATAATTACCAGCATCCGTACAGTAGTTCGTTCACTATTACAGTCAGTGTCAGCTTAGTTGTATATAATTATACCAGTCAGTGTCAGTAGTTGTATATATTACCAGTCGCTGGCAGTAAGTCATATATAATTACAGTCAGTGGACAGTAGTTGATATATAATTACCAGTCAGCTAGCAGTATTGTATATACCTTCACAGTCCAGTAGCAGCCTAGGCCTGTTATAACTATATTTCACCAGTCTGTCACGCAGTAGTTTGTCACTCACTATTACCCAGTCCAGTCGTCAGTAGTTGTATCCTATATTACCATGCCAGCTGTCAGTAGTTGTATCACCCTATTACCCAGTCCCGTGGCAGTAGTCCATAATATATTAGCAGTCCAGTGGCAGTAGTCTTCTGTATATATTACCCAGTCCGTGGCAGTAGTCTGTATATATTACTTACCAGTCCGTGGCAGTTAGTTGTAGCCCAGCTCTCGGCTGATGGTCCAGTTGGCATGTTCTTCGCTGATCTGCTGCTCATCAGGAAGCGACGATGGTCTGATTAACCAGGAGAGACTCCGAGCTCCACATGCAGGGAGTTCCCTACAGAGAGGGAGAATAATCAATCAGTTAGATAAATCGAATCAATCCAATAGATAGAGAGACAGACAAGGTAGATCGAGGTCTTGTGAACCTTATTGGATTTGAACCAGCCACTCCCAATGGGATTGAGGAGGTCCTTCAAGGCGAGTGGAGGGACGGGCCCAAAAGGACTGAGAGCTCACTTTACCCGAAACCAAGAATGTCTGTGTAGTCAAACGGTTAAGTTTCCCCAGGCCAGAAGGACAGTGCTCCTGAAGAACAGACAGGTGAGAGACAGACATTTGAATTCAGTTCTTTCTCTAATTCGTTCAATTATGTGTTTCTTCCTTCTTCCTTCCTTCCCTACCATCCTTGGCTCCTTTCCTTCCTTTCACAGAACAGATAGACAGGCAGAGTCTCGGCATTGAGCGAGGGGAGGTCAAGCCAGGTAGATTCATAGGTCAAGCCACTCCGTTCCACCTGGACATCAAGACGGAACATAGTAGAAAAGAGCATCGTCTCCGCATAAATGTAGAGAGACAGAATTGGTCAAAATACACATGATGCGACACGCTATAGGACAGCTGGTACAGATTTAATAGGCAAAGAATATTCTACTGAGATTGTCCCAGGTTGCGAAATTTCTTTTGTGTCATTAATAACATATAGACTAGCGTTTCATTATGATGTTTTCTAAGCCATGATCTGTGTCGTCGAAAATATGCCTAAAAACGTGATAGGTGAACATCTCCTACAGTCTATTGATTGATATGCTAAGAAATGTGTTTGCTTAGAGGCGGTTGGACTATAGTAGTAGATGTGAAAGTTTTTTGCTTCTATCGCATTCTTACCATCGCTAGACTGATGAACCTCACTATCCCGATTTTGTGCAGCAGAAAATTTGTTCTCTGTGAAGTTCTATTGATTGTAGTAGTATTCAACTGGTTGAGTGTGTCTAGCTCCAGTGCTTGTGTAACCTAATACCCGCTGAGTGACACAAAGTGCACAATGTGGGTTTCCTCGAGACGGTGGGACACATATCACTCTGTGTGTCTCCAGATCTGTTGGTCAACAATAAGCGCCTCTCGCCAAACTTAAGATTGATAACCAACTGAACTGGAATATAAGCCTGTGTATCCATATAGACATGTATCGAATAAACACAACACTGAGGACAAACCACGCTAATAATTTATAGAAAGAGTCATAGTTTGCTGGATATACGGATACGTCAACCCGGGATCACAGACAGACATTGCCTAAGATCATCGATCCGCTGATTTTCCTATAGCACTTCAGCTTGGGGAATGGTGTATAGGCAACCCGTATATTTATTATATTCAAGAATTAAGGTAGGACCGAGTTACTTGCTGACTTGCCCTCTGTGGTTTTGTCATATCACTTCACCCTAGAACTGCTGCTCTCTGCTGTGCATTCGCCGCGTAGATTAGTATACGTAGCGACCTTCCTCTGGTCGCCTCCTCTCCAGATTGTGCACATACACCTTACGATCCCTCGCCACGATAGAATCTCTGCATAGCTTGAACCTCTGCGGATGAAGAAGTGATTCAACTGTAGTTAGAGATATATCGCATATACAGACACTGCGGCTCATATAGCACCGATCTACTCCAGCTTTATGAAGTAACCCCGGAGATGCAGAATGCCATTCCACGAGGTAGTAATCATGTAAAACTAAAGCGTCATATAAGAGACTCTCCTTATAGATATTTTGGTATTTTGCTGTCGTCAGAGTCGAAATGTCATCTACTGATTCGATGTTATACTTTCTCATGCTCAATACCATTTAGAGTCTAATAATATCGACCTCGAAATGGTCGTTGGTCCCACTAGCACGCAAGTATACCTCCTCATCTTCTAATATTACTCCACAGTGATGCAATGGATTTTGGAAGTTGGGGGGCATCTGTTGGGTTACTCCAGATTAAAAACCTCACCTCTGCCTCCTAACCACCACCATTTACCCTTACATTGGACAATAAATTACTCTTTAATTCAAACATCCAAAATGAGGTCTGTGTCATTCTTAAGTGGAAGCGGTCGCAGCAATGGGTTTCCAAAGATTACTATCCTTAACTTTTTTAGGTCCTCGTTAGTCCATTTGGTGTCCATAGTGTTGATGTTGTACGAACTGGACTGGTAATATATACAACTACTGCTACTGACTGATAATATATACAACTACTCCTTAGACTACTTTTGATAGATACTGACCTCTGCAGACAGTCACTCTCTCCATCTTCCTCACCTGTGTCCCCTCCCCCCCCACACCTGTCTGTCCCACCTGTGTCTCACCCTCTACCTGTCTCTCTGTCTCAGAGCAGTCGTCTGGCATGTGACAGCAGTGTTTCAGCAGGTGATGCAGAGCAGCTTCGTTCTCTCTGCTCCAGAGATCCTCTGTACGAGCTCTCCGAGCAGGAGAAGGACTTCCTCTGGAGGCACAGGTGAGGGGCGGGGCTTAACATAGAGACACATGTGAGGGGCGGGACTTAATATATGGATGTATGTGAGGGGCGGGACTTAACATGGGCAGAGATGGGCTTGAAGTGATTCTACCTCTAAGTCTGTGTCTCTACCTGTCTTTACCTGTACCTGTCTGTCTCTCTGTCTACCTGCCTTTCTCCGCAGACATTACTGTGTGAACATCCCAGAGTCTCTTCCTAAACTGCTCCTGTCCGTCAAATGGAACTCCAGAGACGAAGTGTCTCAGGTACAAAACTCATTCTCAGTCAGTTTTCTTTATGTATTTCTATTCATCTCATTAGTCACTGGTCTGTCTCCTCCTGCTGCTCCTCCTCGTCTTCCTCCTCGTCTTCCTCTTCCTCCTCCTCCTCGTCTTCCTCTTCCTCTTCCTCTTTTCATCTCCTCTTCCTCCTCTCTCCATTCTTGCTCCGCTCTTCTCCTCGCTTCCCGCTCGCTCCTCAGATGTACTGTTTGCTGAAGGAGTGGCCTCTGATGGAGCCAGAGTCGGCTCTGGAGTTGTTGGACTGTAACTTTCCTGATCCGATGGTCAGAGAGTTCGCTCTACGCTGTCTGGTACAAGGTCTGACAGACGACAAGCTGTCGCAGTACCTGCTGCAGCTCGTACAGGTGTGTTTACATCCTCACCTCCTGGTACACCTCCTGGTACACCTCTGATACACCTCCTGGTACACCTCTGATACACCTCCTGGTACTATTTGTGTAATTATAACTTGAACATTCATGGAGCATTGTGCCCTGTTCTTCATCGCCTGCACAAGTCTACAAAGTCTATAATGATCTAATTTCACTGATCTCCAGTGTTTTTTATGCTCACTGTTTGAGTTTGTCTTTTCGTGTGCTGCCAGTAAAACAAAAAGAAACTATCTAAACTGTGTGTTCACAGGTGTTAAAGTATGAGATGTACCTGGACAATCCTCTGGCTCGGTTCCTGATCAAGAAAGCTCTGACCAATCAGAGGATAGGACACTTCTTCTTCTGGCATCTCAAGTGAGAAACGTGACCTGAAGGAACAGTTGATAAAAAAGGTTTATCTGCTTCCTCGTAAGTAACAAAGTTTACTCTGTAATTGTAACTGTTCTCAGGTCAGAGATGCACAATAAGACGGTGTCCCGTCGCTTCGGTCTGCTGCTGGAAGCTTTTTGCAGAGCCTGCGGCATGTACCTGAAACACCTGAACAGACAGGTGAGAACTGAAACACCTGAACAGACAAGTGAGAACTGAAACACTTGAACAGACTGTGTGACTGTGTGACTGTG